GGAGGGTAGCATAAGGCGATGGACTGAATGAAGGTGTCGCTTGACTTTAGAGGGACACCGTGTTTCACAGGCAATCAGTTCGTAGATCACGAAGCACTTGCAACAGGAGGAGGGGGAGTGAGGGAGGGAAGGCGAATGCGAGGACTTCAAGCAGCCATCGTCTCTCCTGTGGTCAGCCATCGTCTTGGCCTCCTGCTGCCGCTGTGAAGATGGCATGGCAACGGCATTATCAGATCCGTCAATTCTACACCTGGAATGATGTCGCTCAACGTACTGAAGTCGCTTATTATGCGGCGATGTCACGGCCTCGTATCACTGCCAAAGACGCAATCGTTGCGTGAGTTGCTTTCACTTTAAATCACCCTCAACATGTCGACGGAGGTGTTGTTTGTGCAGGGCGTATGAAAGGCTGGGTCCAGTGTGTGGAATTATAATGGCAATCGGATGGATGATTGAATGGTTTCTCATCATCCTCTTGGAGTGGTTCAAACCATCCAATGTGAGTTAACAAATTGTCGTCAGGTCATCACTGGCAGATGCTTTCTACCGTCCAAGTGCTCAAGTTTGTTAACTTTGCTTGCAGACAGTTGGTCGAGTGCCTCACTTCCTTACGACACCATCACAACTTGAAGTGTGGAACCGAATGGATACTTCGCCTTATGGCGAAGGAGAGACGGAGGCGACGCCAGACAGTGGCACTGGTGAGGTGTGCTGTCAAAGCACGACCTGTCATCATCCCCACTTCATGTGACTATTTCACTCAAATCTCTTGTCAATGCGGTTGCTTACTTTTATCTACTGCGCCAAAAGTGAGACGGTTTTACTTATTTATTCATTTACATCTTTATTTATTTATTACTTTTTTGCCTTCACTTGTCCACAATGATGGAGGTCGTCACGCACTGGTGCGTTGGAAGTTGAGCCTCTTTCCGAGGGGCGTGGTGGTGCCTTTTGGGTGACTGACTAAACGGTCTCTTCACACGCTATCGCATAAAAGGAAGGCATTTGTGTGGAGATGCAGAGAGTGTGACAATGTCTTGCATGCCTCGCTTTATGGAGGGGAGTTCGCTGTGTGTGTGACGCTCCGACAATCCCTCCTTCGGCATCGCCTTGGATGGGGGCGAGGTGTTTTGGCATGCGGACAGGGCGGGTCTTGACTCAGGCCATATCCGCATTCTTCTGGTTAAGTAAATCAGTCACAGGGTCGTGCTAAAGTCTCGTCATGCGTGAGGGAGGCAAGTCACAGGGCAGTCAGTGTGCTTGATGCCGCAAAAGGAGGAGGTGGAGAAGGGAGAGTTGTGACATTGACAACACCGGTTGTCAGCAATGCTAGGGCGAAAATTTGAATATATCAAAAGGCAAGAAAGTGACAGGAAGAAGGTTAA